TAGCTTCTCTGCAATTTACACTCTGTATATCTTAAGCGTAGCTTGGATCCCCCCCCCCCCCCCCATACATTTTGCTGGATCCGCCACTGGTATATATAGCACCAATGTCAAGCTGATTTGATTTGTTTTATTATTTTCTCTTTGTTAAATTTGCTTTAATGTTTTGTTTGTTCTAACTTTATTATACGTTTTTTTTTATCTATATCCCAAATAAGGATATGGTTTCAATAAAGTATTTATTATTATATTTGTGACCTCTGTGATTTGTACCTGAATGCAAATCATGGTATTTCAATTTTCTAACTAAGGTGAGAGCGTTTACAGAACAGGAAGTAGTTGTGACAGATCAAGTGATTACAGTTTACAGACACCGTAACTCAGATGTAGGTATAGTGATATGGTTATGGGTACTTACATAACTGAACCAGGACAATGACCAGCAGCAAACATTGTGACGAGTAACTTATCATCCTATAAATAAGAGAATCAATTTTGACAATAATAATGTAACACAAGCAAGCCCTAAAATAAAGGTAACTTTGCAACAATCAAACAAATCAGGGTACACACATCAGGTATACAGACAATTAGGTACACTCGCAGGGTACATGCTAGACTGGTTAAGACATGGTAATTTTGTAATCTTTTTTCCCCATAAATCGTGGTTTGACACAAAACTACCCTGACTGGTCTATTCTGAGGCATATTACTTGCTATTAATTATTTATAACATGCAGTAATATTTTGAAACCCAGGAGTAGAACACTTCAAAAAGGAGAAAGTAGATTATACATGTCAGGTCACATGTGCAGTAGACCAGTGTAGTAACTATAGAGTGTGCGGCAGAAAAGACCAGTCGTGGTAATTTTGCATCAACGTGGAAGATTCTACAAACTTGTTCATTACGGAATTATCATATAAAACAATAAAATTCCATGACTGGGCCAGTCTAGGTACATGCTTAGGTACATGCCTATGTACATGCTTTTGTACACACACTGGGTACATACATCTGGGCATATGTAGGGTACCAACATCAAGGTACATTTACTGTTACTTCAAAAGCAGTGGTAAGCATGAACGACTGTATATAATTGCCATATAAGGTCATTTACTTACCTTTCCTTGTTTCTCATCCTTCAAAGTTATTGAGGTTGGGTTCTCTAGCGACAATGTTATGATATACTCTTTCAGATAAGTATACTTGGAGTTGGCAATCAGTAACTCTTTGGTTACATCAGAACAGTAGAATTTCACATGCAAGCTGGAAATTAAAATACAGCAAAAAACTATAAATACTGACATAGAGATCTTTTTGTATAAAGACTGCAGGAAAAACCATATAAATTACAGAATAAATATGAAATGAGAAAAATTTAACAACATTTAAACACAAATTAGAACCTGAATGGGGAATCAAGCACTTAACCTTTTCGCCACCCTCTTTTCAGCTAAAATTCACAAAATAGTCCCGTTTATAGTCTGCACCTTCATAGGATTGTGTCAAATCAGCCACATTTTTTTAGTAAAATCTGAAAATTGACTCAAATATTGTCTGTTGGCTTCAAAATTGGGGTTCATTTCCAGAAATATTGAAGAATAGAGAAAAAAAGTGCAGACACATTTTGGCGAGAAAGTCTGGTAGGGAAAAAGTTAAGTAAACAGATACAAAAATTCCAGCTAATGTTAGTATTAAAAATTAGTGCTTAAATTATGAAAAACCAACTGCCACATATCTGTTCATTATGATCATATGCCCAGCGATGAGGGAATCATTAATGTGCCCTCTAAACGAAAATGACATGGTTTATGATGCAACTAGCTATGTTAATTTCCTGGCGCACCAATGACACAACAGAATATCATTCATTAATATAGTAGTTACGTATGTATGCAGTTATGGAATTTGTGATTTGATAAATTGAACTTTGTAAACAAACTATGTGTACAAAAAGAAGAATCAGGGCCCACAATAGTTTAGTTGTGCTTTCAGAAGACCCTACGGCCATATACAATCTTTCTTTTTTTCTTGAATACCTCTCTCCCTCAGTAGTAATATTAAGCTGACAAAACTTAATATTTAAGATTTCATTTTCACTCAAGATGCCTACAAAATCAGTTCTGTTTGAGCACACTGGGAAAAATACACACCTAGATTTGAACTTTTCTTGCATCAGCATTGAACTTAGTCCTACCATGTGATCTGTAAGAGACGATAATAATATTTCAATCCCCTGGTGTATGATATGATATGATTATGACATCATGGTGGACAAATGACTCTCACTGTAGCGATCGTAACCTCTCGAACTGCAGGCTATACAGGAAGTCACGAGTCCAAGATGACATCACATGAGAGAAGTATACCGAGGAATTATATATATTTTTCATTTTCGTAGACAGTCACTGAATTAGGAATTGTTAGAATTTTATCAAATAAATTATTGGACTATTTGACTAACTCTGGGCCAAAAATGTTATGACATCCAAATGCGAACAAGTCTTGCACCATCAATTGAGTCGAATGCCACTGTTGAAAATCCCCTAGATTTATTGTATTTGACAGAGATTTCTTAATATTTAACATTCTGAAATTTTTGAGGTTTTGCTTACACAGGCTAAAATGAAAAAATACCGGTATGCAAATTAGCTAATTAATAGCAATTTTATGTCGATACCAATCAAATTGCAGGAACGTCAGATAGTAACAGCCATCAAAGAGTAACCATTCACGGCAGAGTTTATTTGTTGACATAATTTGTGATAAGGTGCTGGCAAATTTTCGGCCAATGTTACCATGGTGTTACCTTGACCCACTAAAATGAATATTCACTGAACTCATTGCAAGAAGGCACGAACTTTGCGAATTCGCAGTATTGATCTTGCCGACAAGACATACAATATTCTGTCAGGTGATAGTGAGGTCTGATGCCGTTCGGCCAGCGAGGGCGCCACTCACGCCTACATGTTAGGCTAATTCAATTTATACTCAAATCAAAACACCACAATATTAGAGTTGCATTATCATACTACCTGAAAACTTGTAGCAGGATTTAAACAAAATAATTATTATTATCTTGTCAATTATCTAATTTTATATTTTATTATTGAACCTTTTATTGTATAATACATAGTTAAAATTAGACCAATCGGACCTGCTAAAACAATAGCCATCATGTGTGACATTTTTTGTACAGGACTCTCAACCCTAAAAAAGTTTTCCCACAAAGTACTTATTTACATCTAGGTCTTGCTAAGCTGGGTCGAAATTACTGCCCAGGAATGTCCGGGACTGCCCAGGGCGTAATGGGACTATTCAGGGCGTAATGGGACTGGGTATGCTGTCAATCATGAAAAACTAAAGTACTAGTATACCACTATTAATTAATGGACGTCTGTTCTAGTGTCAATCATGGAAAGCTAAAGTTACATGAGGTTTTGGCAAAATTACACATATTTTATTCACTGCAAAGATTTTGACGCAATGTTACACAATATAATATCTGGCAAATAAATGTTCCTTCTTAATTCACTCAAAAATAATTCCCCATACACAGGTATGTCGCCACTGCGTATAATAAGTAAAGCTTTGGGCCAGTCAATCATGTTGCGATGATTGACTCACTCTCGTCCGTAGCTTTGACACTGAATTGTACAGTTTATTTATTATGACTATATAATGACTTGCTGCAGTTTATGCAGCTCTCTTGGTCGTGGTATACGTTGCGGGGCGACCAGAGAGCTGCAGTTCCCTTCCCTAAAGAAATGCACAGACTTTTAATTATGCCAGTTATGTATCATTAAAATTGTGATTGTAATAAAATTACCTCGACTTGCAGGAAAAAATAGACAAATATGTTCTCACAAATATATCTGTTACTGATTACAGCAAGCTTTAAGCAAATTTGCCCGTGTAAATGAGACTATTTTACGTTAAAACTGTGCCGAAGTGAAACCTCCGATTGAATGCCGCCATTTTGAAGCCGACCTCTATCACGTGACTTGGCTCTTTTAGTGACGAGTGTAATCACGTGACTACAGCAGACGGCCATCGGCGCCTGTCTGGGACAGCGCTTCATGTGACCAAACATCGGCAGACGGCTTTTTATAATTTTAATTTCATTTCACCATTAAGTGGCTCATCTTTTTTTGAAAAAATCAAATAAAGTACATGTATTATTAAAAATATTTTTTTCAAGCAGTTTTATTTATATATTGTGAAAAATCTAAAAATAATCTTGTAACTTGCCAAAGAGTGTTACAAGTGACAGGAGCAGACAGCAGACAGCATGGAATTCACAAAGGACAAAATTGTTGAGTCTTTTGACCAGAATCTGAAAGATATTTTTAAATTTGACCTAAAAGCTCAACAAGTAGAAGGTACTACTTGTATTTTAAATAATATACACACATTGGCCATATTACCAACAGGGTATGGCAAAAGTATGATGTATATTTTACCACCAATGCTCCTCAATATTATGCGGAAAGAGACAACAAGCCAACGGGGTAATGGGTTTCAGCTTTAGAACATTCACTAATGCATTGTCAACAGTTTCCGAGGTTTTAAGTCTAGATGCAATGGATTGCCTGCGATACCCTTTAACTTTCTTCTGGAACTCATCTCCACAATGAATGCAAGAACCTGCCATTCTCAATTTTCAGTTAAAATGTCAACTGCGCATGTTTCGTCATTGTCATGTGATCAGGTCACATGACAGAGGTCATCTTGAAATCCGTCGTTCAATCGATTAAATTACGTTCGGTCTAATTATACACAGAAATATATACTTTTCAAGAAGAAATAGTCCTTCATTTTCGGTCAGTAGATACCTAAGATGTTTGTGTTTGCAAGGATAACTTTTATTCGTTTTAAATTTCATTGAAATCGTTCGATAACATCAAAAATAGCGTGCGCCCCGGGATTCCGGGGCGGCGAACTGTGCGGTTCTCAATGGACGCGATCTGCAGCTCTATGGCCGCAACGTAATATCAAAATAGCTTAAGCGGCCAATAAGAGCTGCTAAACTGCAGCAATAAGTAGGAACTATAGTTTTGGGTTTCCATTACTGTATGGTGAATGGTGATTTGGAAATAAAACTTTGTATGACTTATACACCCATGGAAATTATACCCTGTATGAAGTAAACACACAAACACACAAACTCACAAAATGATGAAGACACTGTTATTTACAACAATTCTGACTACCGGTCCTCAGATACAAATAATTTTCTTAGGAGAGCTTCCCAAGATCTAACAGTGAAAAACAACTATGGAGATTTACTGTTGGATCTTTGTATAGCCTCTGATTTGACAATTTTGAATGGTAGATGTATGGGGGACACCACAGGTAAATTTACCTGTCATCAACGCAAGGGTAGCAGTATTGTTGATTACACAATTGTCAGTAATGACTTATTTTCCAAATTTAAATTATTTAATGTGCACCAGCTAAATCTGTCATTGTCTGACCACTGTCAGATTTCTTGTCAGTTTG